TATAAAATGATGTGTTAGATCTGTGCAACTTCTGTAGTTAGAAAAGGCACAAGACTTCGCTCCATTTACATGGAGATGGTTTACATTTACTGTTGCCTAACAGAACAGGTTAGAAGGTCAACTCTCCTTTCACTGAACTTTTCACCTCACGCAGCCCAGGTTCAACGCACTCAAATACCCCCATTCTTAATAGGTCCTGAAGCAGGCTGCCAGGCAGGCTTCAACCAACCAGACCCACAGCAGGGTGGGTTACTTGCTCCACTCCAGGGAACTTTCCAGGTTTACCTCCCCCATTCCCAGCTGCTTTGGAGAATACATGCAAAAAACCATGTGATTCTTCCAGCGTCGTGTCTGCCCCCGCCACCAACCAGGCTAATCGGGGCAATTCAGCACAAACACTACTAGACTCTTACCCTTTCCATCCTTTAAGGTTCCCCAAGCCATAGATCAGCTACTTCTACTGCACCATCACCCCAGCATCTATCATGGCACTCAATGGAGTAGACTCAGCTGGGATTTCTGGTACTGTAACCGTGATGTCACATCATGGTTCATGCTGGTGCATCACAAGGGGGTAACTTTGGAGGGGAGAAGAACACTTAGAACAGGGGAGTAAAGGTAAGTTTGTAATGGCCTGACAGCCCCTTTGGGTCTGGTCGCTGGGCTCATTCAGTGGAGTTTACATTTTGCATGCAGCTTATTTTTAAAGGAGTGATTCTGGCAGGTACTTTGAGACTGTTTGTTTGACGAGTACACCAGGAAAGTGGGGGGTGGGCAAGGAATTAACCCAGACTGCAGCTGCGTTTTGATTGTTAAAACACGGGCAGTACAAACTGGATGCCGAGGCAAGGGATCCAGACGGGGACAGAAGTTCTGTCTGGGGTCAGAAGTGCCACAGAGAGGTCACCGGGATGATGTGGCAGCAAACAGGCACAGCAAAGGCGTTTGATAATCAGTTCCTTGGACAGGAAAAAAACACTAAATAAAGAGGAAAAGAGCTGCAGATGGAAAGCTTGAAATTATTCAGAGTGTTCTCAACTTTTAAATGTTTTCCAATATTTTTGCAGCTAACAAAAGAAAGTGAAGCCTGGGGATACCCACAGTAGCTTTTACCCTTTACTCTTCAGTTCTTCCTCCTCTTCCCATGCCTGACTCATCCCCAGTGGCCCTACATAACATTCACCTCTCTCCAAAGCCAGGGAACCATAACTGCATACATTTGTTGCAGGGCTAAAGCACTCCAGCCCACACATGCTCCCTCTTCCTGTTCTTCTCTGTCTCAAGGGTGGATGGTGCTACTTCTGCGGCATTCCCTGTCCCTGTTGGCCCAAGAAAGGGAGAACCTGATCTCTTACATGGCAGCATGCTTTACTGCCACGGAGTGACTAAGCCAATTCAAGGTCCAGTGGTGCGTGTAACATCCCAAGCAAGAGCAGAAGTCTCAGACCACACCCCAGTGGGCAACCAAAACCATTGCAACTGGCCAGTCTCTGTGAAGAGGCCAAGGACTGAACGGGCATGGAGAGTAAGTTTCCCTCTTAGCTTTGAGGTGTTGCCCACCAGATCAGGGCTGAAATACAACCTACTTGCACTGCTGCTCCCCAGGCAGCTGCCTAGAGCCTGCAGGGCTCTCTCTGGCACTAAATTTAGACTTTAAAAGGGTGTGTGTGTGTGTGTGTGAGAGAGTGAGAGAGAGTGAGAGTGAGTGAGTGTGTGTGAGAGAGTGAGAGTGAGTGAGTGTGTGTGAGAGTGAGTGAGTGAGTGAGTGAGTGAGTGTGTGTGTGTGTGAGAGAGTGAGTGAGAGTGAGAGTGAGAGTGTGTGTGTGTGTGAGAGAAATACTAGATTTTCCACCCCCATTTTTTTATTCCAATTGGATACCTGTTAGGAAACCATTTGCAATTCGGTTTTAAAAAGGGCGATGAGGAGGACTCGTAGCTGTAGCACTGCTGATGCATCACTACACTAGCAAACCGTGGTCCTGACTTTGGTGGGTGAGGGAACGGGGAAGGATTTTAGCAGTGGAGTTGCACTGCAGAGACCTTTGGAGCTGTATGATCTGGAAAAATAATCGTGTTTGGAAGTCACTCTGACCCTCACCCACTCAACAGGCATCATGTTAATGTCATGTCATGTTAATGTCCAAATCCAAGGAAGGCTGGTCTTGTGTTTAACGCACTGCACTGGACACTGGAGATTTGGGTTCAGTTCTTGATTCTACTGCAGATGCTGTAGCCCACTGGGTAAGCCACATAACCGCTCCAGGCCTGATCTACAGAATGGGGAAGTAACCCTTCCTAGGTCTGTCTTGTCTACTTAATTGTAAGCTTTTCCGGCCGGGGGTTGCCTTACTGTGTGGAAGTACAGCGTGATGAGGGTCTGAGTCTCAGTTCAGGCTACCAGGCGCTACTGCAATCTTACTAACGATTACTCTGACCTTTCATTGGAAAGTTGGCAGGAGGGAAGAGTTGGGGAAGAAATAGGGTTAACCTTCTACCGTATGTTTTAGCAAATCATTTCAATCCCTGGGAGCCTCGGCACTGCAAGTTCTCGCCCTTACCTGATGCAGGCGACTCCTTGGACTGAGATCCCTGGGACGCCGGGCGGCTTCCACTGAACAAGTAGCCAGAATCTAAAAAGCAAACCAAAGAAACTCAGCACAGGTGCTAAATACTGTAGCAAGCACCAAGAAAAGCACCTGTATTGTCCAGCCTCACTAACACAGGTGACAAGGGGAGGCTGTAGTAGAGGGTAAACGTACCCGCTCCAGCAGCTTCCTCCCAGGACTGTTGTGTGCTCTGCTAGAAGGGGCACTTCATAGCCCCAAGCTGTCTCACTGTGGCTAAGGGGACACAGGCCTGACGTGCACAGGGGTTTGAGCATTCAGTCATCCAGTCCACCTCTCTTTCTACAGAGCTGGCTTCCCCACCATCGAGGGCGACCAGAGGGCACGCTGCTGAAGACAAACTCAACTAACTTACGTGGACCCAGGCGGCCGGGCGGCATTCGGGGACCCCGTGTAAGTGACAGCTGGCGCATTGCCCATGCGGAGGACCCCAAAGGAAAGCTACATGGACCAGGGCTAAGCCACTTCTAGCTCTAGTTCCATAGTCAGCATGATCCTGGCCCCATTTGTTGCTTCCTCTCGGCGCCTCCTTTCTTCCCTTCCCTTAAATCCTTGTTAAAGCCCCTCCTGACTGGTTCCCATAGCACCCCGCCCCAGGGCCACCCAGAGGATTCAGGGGACCTGGGGCAAAATAGGGGAGCTGCGGCGCTTGTACTCACCCGGCGGCATTTTGGCGGCCCTTCAGTCGCTCTGTGTCTTCGGCAGCACTGAAGGGCCCCCCGCTGCCGAAATGCTGCCCAAGACCTGGAGCGACTGAAAGGCCCTCCACTGCCGAAGACCTGGACCGCCACCAGACCACGGTTCACGGGGCCCCTGCGGGGTCCGGGGCAAATTGCCCCACTTACTTCCCCCCTCCCCCCCCCGTCGGTCTGCCCCGCCCACAAGATAAGGCTCAGACCAAAAGCCCATTTAAGACCGTGATGGAGTAGGGAGTGGGGAGTATTGACCCGGGAATGTTGTGTGGGAGTTTTACTGGTACTGTCTGCATTGGTGCTGGATGGTGGTGGGATATCAGGGTGCAACTTCTCTTGAGGGAGGATACCTGAGCACGTAACCTGAGCCCAGGAGTGGGTTGGGGCCAGGTGACACCTTCTGCCCAGGAAACTGGACAAATGCAGGAGGAGGGTGTGTGGCTGGGTGAGACGGCTGGAGGGGGTTTCAGTTTGGAGCTGGCTGGGGAAAGAGAGGGAGGCCCAGAACCGGGGTCTGGCCTCAGGTCTCAAGATGGACCTGACTGAAGGGTCCTGTTTTCTAGAACTACAAGCTCTGTTTTGGACTGTGTTCCTGTCATCTAATAAACCTTCTGTTCTACTAGCTGGCTGAAAGTCACAGTGATTCACAGGAAGTTGGGGGTGCAGGGCCCTGTCTCTCCCACACTCCGTGACCAAGACCCTATAGAGTGTCACCTCAGGGTCCTGCCCTCTGCCAAGTGAAGAGCCCTCCAGTTTCAATTCAATGTTCCCCCTTCTCACTCCCTGCCCTGCTGTGCAGTGTGGCGTTGAACAACAGTCACCTTTCCCCTGAGAAGTGGCTGCATTTCATTGACTGGCAAAACTAGAGTTAAACTATTTGGGATCAGAGAGAGAAAGGAACATACGGTATTATTACTACACCATATGTCTCAGCTTCCCAGAGAGTCTGAGCAATGGATGCATTGTGTCAGAGCGTTTCTGGTGACCAAGGCTGCTAAGTAACTATTTCTGAGTTGCATCCCCTGCCTTTTATGGTTCAGTTCTCCTGCCTGAGATGGAAATGTTCAATGCTGTAGAGGGAGCCGGCACCAACTGAATGCCTGAGAAGTGCAAAGGCAAATCTAAGCACACAGAGTGCACAAGTCCTCCCTGAGGGATCCCTTCTCTGCCTAGCTGCAGGGGAACAGAGGCAGCCAGCAAACTTCAAAAAAGTTCTGGGTAGGAGGCAGGCTGAGAGTCCCACAGCAGTGAGAGAGGAGAACTTGTGCTCCCCCACACCATGTTCCCCAGACAGCCTCTGCAGGTGCGGCATTCAGCATGGTCCTTTGCTCTACAGCTATGGACAAACGTGTGACCCTTGGTGCTTCCCAAGAGGATCTTTATCCTTGTTTGAGTTCCTCTGTATCTTAAATGAACACGAAGCTGCTGGCCTGACGAGGAGCTGGGGAGGGGGTCTGAGAAGGCAGCAGGAAGAGGAAAAAGAAAGAAGCTGGCAAGGAGACTTGTGGCTTAACTGACACCAGAAGAAGATTCTACCACTCTTTGCTGCACAGCACCATTTGCCAGTAACTTACAGGACTTTATTTTGGTGCTCATTACTTTCAGGATCCCACCTCTGCTCAAGCGATCCTTCCAGTTCTCTCTGATTGCAAAAGGACAAACCGAGCCAGGATCTTTAGGTTCTAAGTCCTGTGCTTGGAGAGTCCCCTGATTTGGCACGGACTTTTGGATCTGGACCCCCGCAGCACCTTAAATGTGTTGCTGGCTCAGTGCTATTTTAGAAAGTAGCAATACCAGCTCCCAGCAATCGCTTGCAAGTGGCTCCCTCACCAGGGAGCCAAGGGGCATTAGGTTCACATTTCCTGCCATGCATTTGCTTGTCACTATTTTAAAGGATGGAAGGTAGAGAAAAGATTCCACCTTCTCCTGCACAATTGAGCACGCAACTCTCTCTCTCTAGATTCACATTCTAGTGACAGAATCACACAAATTTCCATCTGCGTCTCTGGATGTGCAGCGAGGAACCTCAGGTAAAGATCAGCTAAAGCAACTAGAACCAGGAAAGCCAAGCGTTATACCCAAAACCTCAGGCCTTACATTGTCCTTTGGGACAAAGCTATTTAAATAAATATTGTTAGAGGTGCCAAAGGGGTTTGGAGACAAAGCCCTGTTATGTGCCAAAGAGATGCAGGGCAGACAGGGCAAGCTTCCATGCACTGCTCAGCCCCTGTGCCTCAACCTGGAGCTGCAAAGCCATGCAAAAGTATGGACCACACAAGGTGGTGGAGCGGGAGGCGGGGGGGGAAATCACAGCTGCATGGCAGATTTGCACCTGCTGTCCCCAGTTGTAAAGCACTAGGAAGAAGGATGCTGTGCCAAAAAGCCACCGTCCTGCTGAAAGGTTTTGCACGACTGTTCTTTCAACTGCTCCTGATAGATCCAGGAGAGCTGCTGGTAGCACGAGCCAAACTGAACAAAAGCGGCTCGGCTGCTCTTACCACTGTGGTGTTATTCTAGAACCCATCAGTGGCTTGGCCTCTGACACTTGATAATCACTCACTGACAGGGCACGGCAGAGCTTTCCTTGGATGGAGAGTGGCGTGTCCTTGCTGGTTTCAAGAACAATTTAAGCCGAGGTTTAATGCACTGGTAAGAGAGAATCTTTCAGCAGCCTTATAAATCTTCCCTGCACTGCACAGACCCTGGTCAGAGGCCCAACCAGCCAAGCGGTACAAAGCCGGGAGACTCGGGGATTGCAGGGTTGTGGCTACGGCTGTGTTTGTGCACAATAAAACCAGACTTAAATGATGGGCCAATCCTCTGCCCCATCAGTTTATAGTGAGAAAAAGCAGCCTTACCCGCAAGCAGATGTATGCCAGTGAGAAACAGGAAAATCAGGGCTAGTTTACACAGCGAGTTACCACTCAGCAAGCTGGTGCACTGCAGATTCACGCCCACCTGGCCGTGCAGTAACTGGTCATGTAGACAAGCCCTCAGTCGGATTAGGATAAGCTAACTTAGCCCTGGTCTACGCTAGGGGGGAGGGGGCGGGGAAATCGATCTAAGTTACGCAACTTCATCGACGTGAATAACTAGACTAGACGCGATAAATCGATCCCCGCTGGATCAATCGCTGCCCGCCGATCCAACGGGTAGTATAGACATACCCTAAGCGACTCGGGCCCTTTTTGTTCAGTTACTTTAAAACAAAAGACAGCTCTACACTTCTTTCCACAACCACGATTGTAATTAGCTCATGCCCCCCCATCATGGGCCCAAGAACTGAACTCTTTCACTCTTAGACGATACCACAATAGGTGAAGGTTGAGCACACTGGATGGGCAGCGTGCTGGCGAAGGTTGCATCATTGCTGCCTGGGTTGCACTTATTTTAGATGTCTTCAAGTTCCAGAGCCAGCAAGTTTGTACCTTTGACTGGCACTGAATTCACATTAAAAAAAAACCAAACCAAAAAACGGCGCAGCTTTGCAGCCTGGTTCTCCCCCACATGAAGAGATTTAAACTGTAATTATTATTATTTAAACTCAACAGCTGTTTTCACCTGCCTCGTCCAAACACATTACCTAAAAAAAAAAAACAAAAAAATACCAACAACCCCAGAAAAAGAATGGGGGTGTGGGAAGCATACATGTAAATTGAGACAGACCCGGATCTCAACACTGAAATGGAGACCACAGGCTGGGGCACTTGTTAGGGTGTTTAAAAGACCTCAGACACATTCAGAACTACCACCAGAGCAGGTCTGGGACTGGGGTATGGAATACAACACCCTGCTGATGGCTGTAAGTTCTCCCCAGACCCTTCTGGCTCCAGTTACAGCACACTGGTCCAGACGACAGATTTGAGCAGTGTGTTTTACGCTTCTGCTGCTATGGAAGACGGGAATGCCCCACTCTAAGGCTCTGACTTTTATTAAGCTTCCTACCTTCCTCCCCCCACCAAAAAAATACTTCTAATGCATCGTACAACCACCTGTGGGTGAAATATTTGCTTCCCCCCTCCACCCTCGAACAAAGACAATTTGATCTCCCACAACAGCGGAGTTGGAATAGGGCTCCCACCGAGGGCAAGGACCCACACTACATCGATTGCCATCCATCTCCCAAAGAAAAGTCTCAATGATTGATCTTTCCCTCTCTTCACAAGTGTGGAGGGTAAACTTTTCTAAGCTGCCCTAAGAGACCCGGATGCCCCTTTATTAGGAATTGGAGACCAGAAGCTTTGAGGAGAAGATCTAGCCCACCCAGACGTCTTGAGGCAGTGCTTTTATCAGAGCACTCTGCGTTAGGGGAGAGAGAAGTTAACAAGCTGGTTACTTCTTGGTTTACAACCTTACTTTTCACGGAGATCCATCCTGAGGAATTCTGAACGGATACATGAGCAGTCTAGAGTCCAGTGAGATTTTCTAAATACTTGAAGGTCTGAAAGGGCGAGCAAAACTCAGACCTGGTCTACACTAAGAAATTGGGTTGGTATAGCTACATCCCTCAAGGGTGTGAAAAATCCACACCCCTAAGCAACATAGCTAAACGGACCTAACCCCCAGTGTAGACAGCAGTAGTTGGACGGGAGAATGCTCCCATTGACCTAGCTACTGCCTCTCGGGGAGGTGGATTATCTAGGCCGACGGGAGAACTCATGGGGCAGCTGGGCCACTACAGAATTTCTCGTGTAGATGAGCCCTGAGTCAGGGAAAGCTGGAGGTTTAAAAAAACCAGGAGATTGTTAAGCAAGAGTCACTTTTCAAAGACAGGCTCAATCCGACGGCGGGTAACAAGTTAACGTTGCTCTCTGCCGCTTACCTCAAACACCCTTTGGAGGGATGGTTCAATGGTCTCAGGATCAGATCTGCAACAAACACAATTCCCTGGGTCCACAGGTTCAAATCCCAGAAAGGTTGACTCTGCCATCCCGGCCTTTGCTACTGGCCTGTTACTGAGACAGACACTGACTATAAGGCAGAATCTTCTGTCCAAGGGAGGGTCCCAGCAATTGCAGAAGAGTTGGGAAGACTTTGGCCTACTAGGGCCCCATAAGACTGATGGGTGACTCCTGGTATGTTTAAATGTGTTTATTGTTTTTATGTTTTCTTCTCAGTGATGTTTTTGCTTTAGGAATAAATGTGCTTGCTTAGAACAGCAATTTATACGACTGGTAAATCACACCTGTCATCGCCCTCGGAGAGAAAACAAAGCATCCGCGCTGGCCACTAGGCAGTCTGGCTTGCTGGGGGTATTACAGTGAAAGGCAAGGGGCTGTGGAGCCTTAAAACCCCTGGTCAGAAGGCAGTGGAAACAGCGTCCCTACCCAGAGACAGGCGATGGCAGTTCTGAGTCCTGACTGGGCACTCCTGGAGTGGACCACGCAGGGAGGTATCCCTGATACTGGGATAGCCGTGCTGTGGGGCTGAGATATTCCGACCGCTGCCTTTTGTTTCAGTAGTGGGCAAAGCAAGCCCTGTGCCTGCAGCTCATGGAGAGCTTTTGGGTTGAAAGGCCCCAAAGGAGACATAGTGACACACTTGAAATACAAATCTGAGTGACTGATCCTCTCCTCACATGATTTTTGTGATTACAGATACTGAGAACTAATAACTTTCAATCTAGTCCACTGCTGGGGAATGGAACTCTCTGGAAAACACAAAGAGAACCTCTAACTAGAAACATTAAGCTGGTCAGTCAGTGGGGGCAGTGGTCTTTATTTCTGCTTCCTACCTCCATGAACTCCACCCACAGCTACTACTCTACCAAGCTAAGAGCTTCTTTGCTCTATCTAGTTTCAGAGTAGCAGCCGTGTTAGTCTGTATCCTCAAAAAGAACAGGAGTACTCTTAAATTTGTTAGTCTCTAAGGTGCCACAAGTACTCCTGTTCTTTTTGCTCTATCTAGGTGGTGATGATACCGAAGTTCGTTGTCTAGTATTAAAATCAACTGCTTGAGCAACAGCCATGGCAGAGCATTGTATGGTACTCTTCTGCACTACAGGGACTGCAACCATCCAAGGATCAATGAAAAGCATTTACACGTAACCTTTATCAATAGCTGCCACACGGGCATTAAGAATTAGCTTATGTGCACGAGCGCTAGCTTACAGGCTCTCTGTTGCCTTTGAAGAATCGGTTATACCGAACCGGCAGGCTGACCATCTTAGAAGCAAGTACTATGCTATAAATGCTGTGCCTATAGAATCTACAAGATACCTAATGTAAGACCTGCAAGGAGAGAGTGTGTATGCCCAATTCGTCACTGCCCACCAGCGTGCACTTATTTATTCCAAATAACCAGCATTCACCAGCATTTGGGGGGAGGGATAGCTCAGTGGTTTGAGCATTGGCCTGCTAAACCCAGGGTTGTGAGTTCAATCCTTGAGGGGGCCACTTAGGGATCTGGGGCAAAATCAGTACTTGGTCCTGCTAGTGAAGGCAGGGGGCTGGACTCCATGACCTTTCAAGGTCCCTTCCAGTTCTAGGAGATAGGATATCTCCATCATTCAGTTTGCACTTTTACAAGCAACATCATAAGGTGCACGACAATGACCTTTAACTAGACTTACTAGTCTATTCGGCAATAGGCCAGTGACATTACAATGGGCGGGATTCCATGACCGACTCCCACTTGAGTGTGAACACAGCTATACTTTCATTTCCATCAGGTGTAGAAGTGTGGTGCGCGCCTTACCTGTCCTGGCTAGGGAAGGGATGGTGCCCAGCGAGAGGGCCCTGTTCAGACGTCCAGGGAGCGAGGAAGAAGAAGCCCTGCGTGGGGATCTGAAGAACTGCTGATTCGTCAGCTGGAGGATGCTGGGGGGCGTTGGGATAAAAACAGACGGCGAGGCAGCGGAACAAGGGAAGCCAATCCCAGAGCCGTTGGGGAACAGAGCGACCGAATCCCCGGAAAGAAACCTGTAAATGACATGCATGACAGATATTCAGCAAGGGATAAATTCCAGCATCAACTGCTCACTGTGCTCTGACAGATGCACCAAGAGTGCAAAGCGACAAATCTCCACTCAGCAGTGCAGCTTAGTATGGGTTGGTATGCTTGGTGGGGATGCCAGCATTACGTGAATGCCTAGTCAATCTACACAGGGAACATAGCACCAAATTAATCAGGAGTTGGCATCAAGTGATGCCAATGTGAACCCCACAGACGTTCTATTCCAGCAATACTGAGAAAACCACCATGTCCACCTACCTCTAGGCAGTGCAGGGGCTGGCTACAAACCAGTTAAAGGAGTTCACAACAAGCTAAGATGTTAGGCCTTGTTTACATGAGTCAGTTGCACCTGTTAAACTAAAGGGGCGATTTTAAACTGGTTTACTTACAACCAGTGTGGACCCTTACTTCAGTTTGAGTGGTTTATTTTGGTGTCGCTTGAATCAGTTCCTAATTGATTTAGGCTAAACTGAAGTAAGTGTCCACTGCAGGAGTTCTCACTGGTTTTAAGTCAGGGGTTCTCAAACTGGGGTCGGGACCCCTCAGGGGGTCACGAGGTTATTACATGGGGGGTCGCGAGCTGTCAGCCTCCACCCCAAACCCCACTTTTCCTCCAGCATTTATAATGGTGTTAAATATATAAAATGTGTTTTTAATTTGTAAGGGAGGTCGCACTCAGAGGCTTGCTATGTGAAAGGCGTCCCCAGTACAAAAGTTTGAGAACCACTGTTTTAAGTAAACCAGTTTAAAAATCGCATCTTCAGTTAAACAGGTGCAACTGACTCACGTGGCTACGGTCTTACGCTATAGGAAAGGATCTCATGGTAAAGCAACATTGTTGCCCGCTTCAGCAGTGTCCCATCACCATCAGCTCTCTCCCATGACTTCCAGCATGAATCACAGCATTCATAGGAGGTTAAATTTGAGAGCTGCCAGTTTGCTCCTCCTGTAATTCTAAGTATTGCTTTTTGCTGCAGTTAAATGCAGCAGCAATGTGACTAACTGATTTATTTAGGCCAATGCAGAATACTCACAAGTCTAGGACTATAGGGGTTAACTCTTGCTGATGAGCAAGGGAGCTTGTATTTTTCTTGGTTCCAGGACACTGACAGGGGGTTACACATTTTTGGTGTGTCTACTGATCCATTATCACATATCTATCAATACCTAAGTTTCTCAGCGTCCGAACTGAAGATCTAAAAGAAGGTGATGTTTAGACTCCAGTGGAATAATACTCAGGGGATTTCATCAATTTACATTGAGGCCTGGGGCTCAAAGCAGTTGGTGGGCCAGATTCTCCGCTGGTGTTTATTGGTGCAACTCCACTGGTTTAATGATCAGCTAAGAATCTGACCAGATGTTGATAACTAGAATGCCTTATGACAGGGATAGGCAACCTATGGCACGGGTGCCGAAGGTGGCACGCGAGCTGATTTTCAGTGGTACTCACACTGCCCGGGTCCTGGCCACCTGGTTTCATGGGTGGCGAGTACCATAGGCAGGGGGAGGCTGTGCCTCCCCAAAACAGCCAGGTGTGGCGCTGCCCATGCTCTGCCTCCAGGCTCCCCCCTCCTGCTTCTGCTCAGTGTTGCTCGGGGGGG